GATGGTGATGATGATGGTGGTGATGATGATGATGATGGTGATGGTAATGATAAGTGGTAGTGATGGTGGTGATGATGGTGGTGATGATGATGGTGATGGTGATGATAGTGGTGATGATGATGTGGTGATGATGATGATGGTGATGGTGAGTTGATGGTGATGCAGATGATGGTAGTGATGATGGGGTGATATGATGGTGGTGATGTGGTGATGGTCGTGATACTAGTGGTTGATATTGCGATGATGATAATATTGTGATGATGGTCGCGATGGTGATGGCTGATGTTGCAATGATGGTGACAGTGATGCCATGATGGTGGTGGTGGTCGTGATATTGTGGTGATGGTAATGGTGGTGGTGATGATGATGAAGACAGTGATGCAGTCACGATGGTGGTGATGGTGATTGTAGCGATGGCAGTGATGACTGTGATGGCAGTGGGGATTGTGCCCCCAGGGATGACACAATTGGCCCCCGGTATTGTAGGATTCCCAGTTTCAAGGGTCCCAGAATGCCTCCCTTCCATGTCACATCTTCTTTATGAGGGCCTTCCAAGACAGGCAGGAAGAGGCTTGTACTTTTCCAGAGAAGGAGGAGACTGGAGCTCTGTGCTGTAGGGGCTCGGGGACAGGAGTGTGTCCCGGGGTGTTCCTGTTCCTGCTCTTGGATGTCAGCCAGTCACCACACTGGTGCATCAGCGTGAGGTCCTTGGAGCACTTAGGTCATGGAGGTGGCTCAGCCTCTGGGCCAGATGGACCTGAGTGGATCCGCTAGTACTGTCCCCCAGGCCAAGCCCTTGCTTCTATGAGGCTCCATCTGTGGATGGGTCAGAGCCCATTGGGCCAAGCCACGAACCCCACTGCCCCAGGATTTCCCAGCAGTGGGCACCCGCAGTTGGGAACAGGAGCTGGGCTGCAGACATGGGGCAGAGGGGATTCTAGGGTGGGCCTGGGGAGGCCTGGGGAGCAGGTCAGAGGGCAGAGGCCTGGGTGATTGGGCCCCTGGGTTGTGGGCACAGATGTGACCGCTTTCCATAGAGACTGGACAGGCAGAAGACACCTGGATAGCAAGTGGGCAGAGCGAGAGTGAGGAGGGGTGTGACGGGCGGCCCAGAGGCCAGGGCAGCCAGGCTCAGGGCACCTAGGTTCACTGTGCTGCCGCGGGGCTAGGGTGGGGGTTTCAGGTGTCTTGGGAGGATGGCTTTGGGCTGACGCAAGGTCCAGTGAGTCTTCCTCCAAAAGTCTGTCTAGCCCCACCTCGTTACCTCCATTTCAACCTGCCCAGCCTGCCCCTCCCCGAATTCCCTACTCCGGCGGTCCCTTCTCCCCTTGTCCTCCAGTCCACTGTCCCTTCAGTACCCAGACCCGAACCTTGGCGGCACGACGGGCACAGGCCATGCCCCTTCACCAGGGACAGGGCTGCCTGCCTGCCCGCCTGCCCTGAGCCTTGGCGAGGCCACCCATCTCCTGGGCTCTCCTTGCCGCCGCTTAACGAGGGTGCAGGGTTTCCTGGCTCCACCTTCCTACGGTGGCGTGCTCCCCGGCACATGCTTGCTTCCACTCAGCAGACAGACTTGTGGAGACCTTGCATGCTCCGAAGGGCCCTGGTGGTGCGATGCATCAAGCACTGGGCTGCTAACCAGCAGGTCAGCAGTTCACACCCATCGGCCACTCTGCAGGAGGAAGATGAGGCCATGGGGTTCTCTGCTTCTGCAGAAATGCAGTCTCAGAAATCCTACGGAGTGGCTGTGCTTCGCCCCACAGGGTCGACCCAGTGGCATTAGGTTTGGTTTTTGTTTTTGTATTAGTCTAGGTACTTTGGAGAAACAAATCCACAGCGACTCATGTATAAGAGAGAGTTTTATGTAAAGAAAAGGTGCATCACGAAAACATCCCAACCCAATGCTGCCCAAGCCCACAAGTCCAACATTAACCCATTAACCCAACACCAGTCCACAAAGTCCTCTACCTCACAAAACAGAGGCAATGATGCCGACTGCAGGAGGAAAGCTGAGTCAGTGAATGAACAAGCATCTCAGCACTAGCAGGGGTCTCCACACGGCTGCTCCAGCACCCAGGGCTGCATCGGGATAGGTCCATGTAGCTTCTCCTTGGGGATGTCTTGTAGGAAGTCAATCTTGCAAGCTTGAAGCAGGGAACTGCTAAGGCAGCTGCACCCAGTGCAACCATCACAAAACAAGAGACCCGAGAACTAGAAAGGCGAGGCTTCACCACCCATTTATCCCTCCGCCTTTCAACCAGCACCACATGTGATTATCAGCCAGGCTGGCACAATTAACTAACTCAGTTTTGGTTCTGGATCCTTGAGAAGATCCCTGGGGAGCAACGGTGATGGGCAGCTCGGCTGCCAACCCAAAGGCCTGTGGGTCGAACCCCACCAGCTGCCCTCCTACAGATTGCAGCTTAAAACCCCCATAGGCCCATTCTACTCGGTTACATGGTTGGTCACTGGGTTGGAACCAACCTTCGGGCTCCTGACTAGTAACTGCAGCCTGTTCCTGGCACCCCTCCAGGGTCCCGGGGGTGGGGTGGGGGCTGGCAGTGTGCTGAACAGATCCCACAGCCCGCTCCCTCACAGCTGTCTTTGAAGTCGGGGAGGCAGACCCCAGTCCCACAGACCTGGATCCACGCCGTCGGTCCTGTCTGATGGCGAGGACAGCGACAGGAAGCCACAGGGAGTGTGATCCAGTGGAGGAGGGTGCCAGGGCCAGCCCCAGAGCCGGCACGTTGTAGGTGCTCAGGAAATAGGTGTTGGACCAATGACTGGATCAGCAGGACCTGGCAGAACCGAACCTGGGGAATTGGAGGGGGCGGTGTCGCCGGGAGAGGAGTGGGTGTGAGCGGAGGCCAGGAGGAGGGACAGCCTGTCCCTTCTCGGACCCAGGGAGGCCCAGAGGTGTCAGTGGGGGTAGCGGTGGGCTCCCAGGCAGGCACAGCAGTGGGCAGACGGGAAACTACCCCGGGGAAGGTGGTGTGCAGCCCGGGGGGTGACACGTGGCCGCCTGAGATGCCTGGGAGCTTATGTAAGGCCCATGGTTGCTTTTTTTTGCAACGGAACGTGAAGCCCTGAGCGCGGGAGGAAGGACTGCTTTCCTGGCCAGCCCGGTCCCCGGGAGCCAGAGACACGCGGCTGCATCAGCTTGGTGGCTCAGCTCACAGCAGCCTTGGGGACTTGTGTTTCCTGGGGGTGGGGGCGGGAGTGGAGACGGGGTCCTGAGCAGTGAAAGAGCAGTGGCTGCCCTTTCATCTGCTGTTGGCCAGAAAAGAGCAGAGTCCTGCAGGAGGCCAGTGTGGCCGAGACCAGAGGGCCGGCGCAGGGGATCTGGCCTCTGAATGTGAATTGGTTCTATGCTGTGCTCGGCGGGGAGCCTGGGCATGCCGCACCCTTCTCTGGGCCTCAGTTTCCCCACTTGCCAAATGGGCGCCCAGAAACCTAGGCAGTTGTGAGCCGCAGAGAAGCCCGGATGTGCACGTGCTTGAGGGGAGGCAGTGCCCTGGGATTGGAGTCAGGACAGGACTGTGCGGCCTGGCACGGAGAGGGTGGGCTGTTCCTGTGATGGGGCATTGGGGAGACGCTCCGGGCGGTAACAGCAGAGCGGTCGCACGTGGGTCCTTCTGGGAGCCCCTCTGTGGGAGCGCACAGGCCTGGCACCTCGGCTGTGACGGGCCTGCCCCACCCCTTCTCTGTGCTTCAGCGTCTCCCTCTGCCGAGCAGAGAGTGATCGCTGGGGTTTTGGGGTTCTCAGTTTTGTCCGGCTGAGATAGTTTATGGTGTGGTGGGGGTGGGGGCGAGGGCTCGGCCGCAGGTCTTAGCCCTGCAGGTCTCAGCGTGGCTGTCACCACCTTGGAGAAGTCCACCCTGATTCCCCCTTCGGACCTGATCCTGCAGTCCCCCAGACTATTCCTTGGAACTCGAGTCCCCTCGGTAATGACACTTGTCTTTGATTACATCATCAGTACAAAACTCTACTCTCCTGGTCAAAAGACCCTCGAATCCGGCGACTCTCCAGGACTGGGTCTCTCCCCAGCTCTGCTGCCCAGAACCAGAGCATAGCAGGGTGGGCCCGCCTTGCCCAGGGACCACCCACCTGACCCTCTTTTTACTCCTGCTTCAGCTACTCCACCTGGTGGTGAGAGGCAGGTTGGGGATCCCCACCATGCCCCCGACTCTGTCTCCCCAGGACTCCCTGCCTGGAGCCAACATGGCTGAGAGCTCGCCGCCCGCAGCCCTGGCCCCTGAGCCCAGCGTCACAGAGCAGCCCGGCCCACAGAGCCCAAGCCCCCCGCCTTCCCCCCCGGGTCTGGCGGAGCCCCTGGATGGAGCTGACCCCGACGTCCCGCACCCCGACCTGGCTCCCATCGCTTTCTTCTGCCTGCGGCAGACCACCAGCCCCCGGAACTGGTGCATCAAGATGGTGTGTAACCCATATCCTTTGTGTGGCCGGGCAGCAAGGGGGTGGGGCTGCTTCTGCTTCCAAAGGCCTGGCGGAGGCCACTGGTCTCCAGGATAAGGAGGGTCTGGTGGGGAGTCAGGTGGGGCCGGAGGGTGGGGAGGAGGAGGAGGAGGAGGGCCTGGTGTCTGGCTGATGAGAAGATTCTGGAGTTTGCTGATGACTGGAGTCTGGGCTCAGCCCAGGGGCTGGTGGTTTAGAAAGTCCTCAGACAAGAGCCCCAGGTGTGTGTGTGTGTGTGCAGTGAGGTCAGCCCCTGGTCCAGTGACAGAGCCATTCCTCCATTAGTCAGCACACATGGCTGATGAGAGTAAGACAGAGCAGACCCCCCGCCCCCCACCCCAGACTCCCTGACCCCTCTCAACTCCTCCCTGACCCCTCTCAGGCTCCTCCCCAACCCCTCTCAGACTCCTCCCCACTCCTATCAGACTCTTCCCTGACCCGGCTCAGGCTCCTCCCTATCCATTTCAGGCTCCTCCCTATCCCTTTCAGGCTCCTCCCCGACCCCTCTCAGGCACCTCCCTGACCTCTCTCAGGCTCCTCCCTAACCCTTCTCAGGCTCCTCCCTAACCCCTCTCAGGCTCCTCCCCAACCCCTCTTAGGCTCCTCCCTGACCCCTCTCAGGTACCTCTCCATCCCTCTCAGAATCCCTTTCAGGCTCCTCCCCAACCCCTCTCAGGCTCCTCCCTGACCTCTCTCAGGCTCCTCCCCAACCCCTCT